GGCCAACAGGCACATGAAAAAATGTTCAAGGTCACTAGCACTCAGGGAAATGCAAATCAAAAGCACAATGAGGTTTCACCTCACCCCGGTTAGAATGGCTCACATGCAGAAATCTACCAACAACAGATGCTGGCGAGGATGTGGGGAAAAAGGGACACTAACCCACTGTTGGTGGGAATGCAAACTGGTCAAGCCACTATGGAAATCAGTCTGGAGATTCCTCAGAAACCTGAATATAACCCTACCGTTCGACCCAGCCATCCCACTCCTTGGAATTTACCCAAAGGAGTTTAAATTGATAAACAAAAAAGCGGTCTGCACCCTAATGTTTATTGCAGCACAATTCACAATAGCCAAGATCTGGAACCGACCTAAATGCCCATCAACGGTAGACTGGATAAAGAAATTATGGGATATGTATTCTTTAGAATACTATACCGCAGTAAGAAACAACGAAATCCAGTCATTTGCAACAAAATGGAGGAATCTGGAACACATCATGCTGAGTGAAGTAAGCCAGTCCCAAAGGGACAAATACCATATGTTCTCCCTGATCAGTGACAACTGACTGAACACCAAAAAGGAAACCTCCTGAAGTGAAATGGACACTATGAGAAATGGTGTCTTGATCAGCATAGCCCTGACTGCTAATGGACAACTTAATACATTATCCCTCTTAGTAGTTTTTTTGTCTGTTCTACTTAATATGACTGGTTTAATTCTGTAATTATCACACAGTTATTCTTACGTGTTGAAAATTAACTGAAATGTGATCCCTGTTAAACATAAGAGTGGGAATAAGAGAGGGAAGAGATGTATAATTTGGGGCATGCTCGGGCTGACTTGCCCCAATTGGTAGAGTTGGAAACATACCAGGGGATTCCAATTCAATCCCATCAAGGTGGCATGTGCCAATGCCATCTCACTATTCCAAGTGATCAATTTCAGTTCACAATTGATCATAATGAAAGGACTAAGAGTCAAAGGGAGCACATAAACAAGTCTAGTATCTGCTAACACTAACTGATAGAATAAATAAAGGGGAGAGTGATCCAACATGGGAAGTGAGATACTCAGCAGACTCATAGAATGGCGGATGTCCTAAATAGCACTCTGGCCTCAGAATCAGCCCTAAAGGCACTCAGATCTGGCTGAAAAGCCCATGAGAGTATTTCAGGCTTGGAAAGCCAAGACACTCTGGCAAAAAGATCTCTGTGAGTGAGATCCCAGTGGAAAGAACAGGTCTTCAAAGAAGGAGGTGCCTTTCTCTGAAGGGAGGAGAGAACCTCCACTTTGACTATGACCGTGTCTAAACAAGATAAGAGTCAGAGAACTCAAGGGGCTTCCATAACCTTGGAAACTCATGACTGGAGCATAGGGAGATTACTGATGCCACAAACAGGAGTGTCAATTTGTAAAGTCAACAACAGGAGTCACTGTGCACTTACTCCTCGTGTAGGATCTCTGTCCTTAATGTGCTATACACTGAGGCTTAATGCTATAACGAGTACTCAAACAATATATTTCACTTTGTGTTTCTATGGGGGTGCAAACTGTTGAAATCTTTACTTAATGTACACTAAACTGATCCTCTGTAAAAAAAAAAAAAAAAGAAAGAAAGAAATTATCAACTCCCAACTTGACTCACACTGGGATTAAACATGACAATAGGTCTGATCTGATTTCATCATCATTTAAAAAAATCATCTATTATTTTTCACTTTATGTTTCTGTGTGGGAGCAAACTGTTGAAATCCTTACTTAAGGTATACTAAGCTGATCTTTTGTATATTAAGATAATCGAAAATGAATCTTGATGTGAATGGAAGGGGAGAGGGAGTGGGAAAGGGGAAGGTTGTGGGTGGGAGGGACGGTATGGGGGGGGAAGCCATTGTAACCCATGAGTCGTACTTTGGAAATTTATATTCATTAAATAAAAGATAAAAAAAAAGAAACTGAATGAGGAGGAAGAGTAGAAAAAGGAGAAAAGGAGGAGGAGGAGGAGATGTTAATGAAGTATAAATACATGAAAATACATAGAAAATGTATGGGAAAATTATGAAAAAACCTAAATCAATGGATTTTATGTTTTCTTAGTGACTGAATAACACAATAGTATTAAGGTATTCATTCTTCCCACATGGACCAAAAGATTCAGCACAGTCTGATAAAAATTCCAGTAAGCTGTCATGTAGACAATGATCAACACTTTTCTGAATTTGTGAATTGCAGACATTGTTGAATAACAGTAAATATGAGAAATAAACAATTATTGATTTCATGTTTTATTATAAACATACAGTAATGAAAAGACTGTGATGCTGGGTAAAGAAGTAATGTGGCTAAGGGGAATATGCATAAATATATGGAGGTAAATATTTATACTTCACTGATCTTAGTGAAAGGTACAGAGAAGAACATGTATTTTTTTTTAAGATTTTTTTGTTTGAGCAGTACACTTACAAACAGAGAAATGGAAAAACAGAGAGAAAGGTCTTCCATTCACTGGTTCACTCCCCAAATGTCCACAATAGCCAGAGCTGTGTTGATCCAAAGCCAAGAACCAGGAGCTTCTTCCAGGTCTACTACTTCAGTGCACATGTCCAAGCACTTGGGCCTTCTTCTACCGCTTTCCCAGGCCATAATAGAGAGCTGTATAGGAAGAGGAGCAACCAGGACATGCACCAGTGCCCATATGAGATGCCAGCCCTCCAGACAGTGGCTTTGCCCACTATGCCTCAGTGCTGGCTCTTGATGAATATGTATTTTTCCAACAATTGGATATAGTGTTATTGGATGACCAAGTGGAAAAAAAAACAGAGATACATATTTTGGACCTAACATATAAACTCATTCAACATAGTGAATAGACTTTTACATAGGTAAAATAAAAGAAATTAATTGCATTAGTTTTATATACAACACTGAATATATGATCCATAAAAATATAATGCATAATTTGATTTTATAAAAATTTATTTAATTTGAAAGTCAGAATTATATATATATACACACACAGAGGGAGATAGAGGGGGATGGAGAGAGAAAGAAAGAGAGATTTCTTCCATATGCTGGTTCATTCCTCAAGTGGTTGTAACAACCAGCATTTGGCCAGGCTGAAGCCAGCAGTGAGGAGTTTCATCAAGGTCTCTCACATAGGTGATAGGGGCCCAAACACTTGTGTCATATTTGGTTGCTTTTGCAGGCCATTATCAGTGAGCTGAAATAGAAGTGAAGCAGCCAGGACTCGTGCTAGTGTCCACAGGGCATGCCAAAACCGCAGGCAAAGACTTTACCTGTTCTGCTACAATGCTGGTCACGTAACATGTATTCTATTAAATTAAAAATGTCTTATATTCAAAAAGCATTTTATAAAATAATGGAAGATACATCTTATCCTGGGAGAGAATATTAGCAAAAATATGGGGCTGGTATTATAGGATATTGGGTGAAGCCACAGATTGCTATGCCATTCATCAGTGCTGATGCTATGCCATTCAGCATTTATGTCCTGAATGCTCCATTTCCAATCCAGCTCCCTGCTAATATATATGGAAAAGCAGTGGAGGACTGCTTAAGTATTTAGAACTCTGTATCCATGAGTGAAATGGAGATGAAGCTACTGAATCAACCCAATCCTGGCCATTGCAGCAATTTTGGAAGTGAAGCAGTGGGTCAAAGGTATTTCTTTCTGTCTTTTCCTCTCTGTAACTTGACCTTTCAAATAAATAAATAAATAAACAAATATTTAACAATAGCAGCAGTCATTGAATGCAAAATTAATGAAGACTTTGTAGAACTCACCAATGAGGTGATAAATTATCAAATTTAAAAACAGCAAATTAATGAAGAATTGTCTTTACATTGATTATATGCTGAATAGAAAAAAAGCACATAAAATTATGAGATGAGGGAAAGGACTGTAAAGAAAGAAATCAAATTAAACCAGCAATAAGATGGATGCACTAAATATTTTGAGATGATATAATAAATTAACACAGCAGTGTAAAATTGACAAGAATATAGAAAAAAATCACATTCATTATTGGTCAGAATGTATAATGGTACTTTACAAGACATCTGGAGGTGTGATTGTAAAGTCTTCAATAGTATCACCATACAGTGCAGCAAAGATTCCCATATCGATTTACCCAGTTGATGTGAAAATACATATTCCACACTATCCATCTTGAACATAAATGCAGTAGTTTTATTCATATTGGATTTCACAGGTATGAAACCAAGATGCCCTGCAGTAAATGAATAGATAAACAAATTGTCACACAAATGGGGACATTTGAGGCACAACTGATGTGACAATATATAAGACCACTGGGATGCAGATAGTGGGCTGGATTGGATTCACAGGGGCCCAGAGACAAAAGGAAGACACAGGGTACAGGTAAATAGCATAGACACCTGACAGAAGCAGCAGCTTTTGGAAAGACACAGGGTGGTACCCAAAACTGCCAAAAGTGGGAAACACAAGAAATGATGTCATTCCAGGGTGGGGCAAAAGTTACTCTGTAGAAAGAAGTGTTGGTGATGAAGGAGCCCTGATATAGGTTGAATGGAACAGGGAAGAACTTGAGCAGGATCTACCTCTCCTTCTGTCTCATCGACATTGTTCTGGAGGTATAGTCATGGAAATTGAGTGAGGAACAGGAAATATTAGGTAAAAGGGTCAATTTTTCACCAAGAAGATTTTAATATATATAAAAGAACATAACCAAATAGAAACTGATGAGAGGGTTAAGCAAGATTCTTAGGTTCAAGGGCAATATATACAATGAAAGGTGTTACTAGGCACAACAAAAACAAATAGACAACATTTTTGAAGGACAAAATACAGACTAGGAAACAAATAAAGATCAGTGAGACCAAGAAATAATACTCAACCGTTTCAAATCAGTACTAAAAATCTCAAACTCACAGAAAAATAAAACAAGAATATAAAGAAAAGACCTAGAACCCAAACACTGGGTATATTGTAACTCATAGAAACGTTTATTAGGAGCCCCAACTCACAGGATCACAGACAATGGAACAGGGAAGTAGCTCAGGAGATGGTCTGGAAGGTGTCGGCGCCCTCTGCTGTGGCAGTGTCGTGTCCCAGGAAAAGGAGAGACAGCTTCACACTTGAGCCCAGGGTGCCCACTGTATTCCCGCAACACAGCACAGTCCCAAGAAAGGCCCGCAGGCTGCATCTGATTGGCTGCGTCTCCTCTGACGCCATAAGTGCGCGCCATTGTGTGAACTACCCAAGCAGGTTGGCCTGGGCAATGCTGTGTGAATCTTCTTTCTGGGCTCCGCTGCTCTTGGCTTCCCGGCTCTGCTCCTGGTCGCGGCCTCCCGTGGTCAGCCTTTCCGCTCCCTGTTACGGAGACCTCAGGACCAGGACTCCTCAGAAGCTGGAAAATGGTGAGTGAGGTCCAGTCCCCTCAGGCCCGCAGGATGTGAGCTGGGCCACAGCCGGAGCCCTGAGGGTCTTGTCCTGGCCCTGTTTGCAGTGACGGTGGCTCAGCTCTGGAGCCCCGAATCCGCCGACATTGTTGATGAGGACAGGAAGGACTTCGAATTCAGACTTCAGATCTGGCTGTCATGGGTGAGAAGCTGACTTGCGGGTCCTCTGTCCCACCTTTCTCTCTAGGGATGACCGGAGTCTCCTGAATTGCAAACAAGGTTTAATGTCAGTAACCCGGTCCTTTCAGTGTAGCTCTTCCTAGGGCCCTGCGTCGCTTTATGTTAATAATAACACAAGATCTCAAACCGGGTAAATTATGAAAAAAGGGTGTTATTTGACTCAAGGTTCTGCTCAAGGTTGTGAGGCAGCATCTAGCGATGGCTTCTTGTTGGCAGAGGCTTGGGGTGCCGCAGAGACCATGTGGCCAAGTAAACGGAGTGCTGGTGTGGCCAGTGCAAAGTGGCTTCTATAGCAGACCCCCTGGAGATAGTCCATTAATCATATGAATGGATTGAGCCTAATCATTGCTTGGAATATCCCACTTGGTCCTGTAGATTAAATTCTTATACTTGGAATTAAAAATCCCTGTAAGTTTATTTTTTTTCTTAAAAAAGATTTATTTATTTATCTGAAAGTCAGAGTTACACAGAGAGAGGAGAGGCAGAGAGAGAGAGAGAGAGAGAGGTCTTCCATTCGATTGTTCACTCCTCAATTGACCACAACAGCTGGAGCTGCATCGATCTGAAACCAGGAGCCAGGAGCTTCCTCTGGGTTTCCCACATGGGTGCAGGGGCCCAAGCACTTGGGCCATCTTCTACTGCTTGCCCAGGCCATAGCAGAGAGATTGATCAGAAGTGGAGCAGCCGGGTCTTGAACCTGTGCGCATATGGGATGCTGGCACTTCAGGCCAGGGTGTTAACCGGCTGTGCCACGTAGCCATCCACAAAGAGTTTCAGAGGGATAAACCATGTTCAATAAAGAGTATGAAGCCTGTCCCCCCCCCCTAAAAAAAAATCTCAGGGCCATTTCCCTGGCATAGTGAGTAAAGCCGCTGCCTGCAGTGCTGGTATCCCAAATGGGTACAGTTTCTAGTCCTGGCCGCTCCACCTATGCTCCAGCTCCCTGCTAATTCCTCTGGGAAAGCACTTGGAGATGGCCCAAATCCTTGGCCCCTGCACTCAAGTGGGAGACCTGGAAGAGGCTCCAGGCTCCTGGCTCCTGGGTTTGGATTGGCCCAGCTCTGGTCATTTCAGCCATTTGGGGAGTAAACCAGCAGATGGAAGACCCCCCTCTCTCTCTCTCTTTCTCTTTCTCGCTCTCTCTCTGCCTCTGTGTAACTCTGCCTTTCATATAAATAAATTAATCTTTAAAAACAAACAAAAAATCAGTAAATGTCCAAATCTTCTCCCACTTTGCCAAATGTTAACTGCTCCTTGAAGTTCACAACAGCATCAGTGATTTTCTTTATGGCATATTTCATTCAGTTTCAGTTAAAATACTATTGCTAAAATAGTATTGTCTTTTTTCCCCACTAGGAAATTTCTTAACTCTTTAAAACACTTATTTTCTGTCTATGAACCTATCATATTAGAGGAAAGCCAAGAATGCTTACCTGACACCCAAGTGTAAAGAAATTTTGTTTGGAGTGGGTATTTGTAGTAGTGGTTAAGATGTTCCTAGGACTCCCACAGTCCCTGTCAGAGAGCCCTGGTTTGCATTCCAGCTCTGCTTCCAACCTAATGCTCACCTGAGGAAGAAGCAGGGATGGTTGAAGTACTTGGGTCCCAATCACCCACATAGGAGGATCTGATTTAATTCCAGCCTCCTGGCTTCAACGTGGGCCAGCCCTGGCCTTTGCATGCATGTGAGCAGTGAACCATTTAGTGGAAGATCTCTCTGTGACTGTCTCTGCAGCCCTACTTGTCAAATAAAAATACATTTTTTAAAATACTGTACATTTCTTCTTATCTCCCTTAAATGCAGACATCTTATTAAAATGTCATCAGTTTGAGAATCCTCTTGGAAGCTTTACAGGGCAATGTCTCCCTAACACACGCCTCTCTTTCCCTTGTCCTGAGTTGTGGGTGATGACAGATTTTCCAGGGGCCAGATCCCTAGGAGTATCAGGTGAGTGCCAGCCCCTGGCTGTTTCTTCCTAAAGAACAGGAGTAAGAAGGGGGACATTGGATGTCTCCAAGGCAAATGGTATCTACTGTATACCCTCCATCAATGTTGCTAACCCATTGGGACACTAAAATTTCTTCTCCCAAGTGCAGTTCCTACCTCGGGGGACATATTAGTGTCAGCTAATTTGATGCTGATATTGAAGGGGCAGGACAGAAATGAGTTATGCCCTCTAGGTTCTATCTGCCTTATGCAGAAAGGAAATCTTTTGTAAAGGTAAAGAAAGACCTGACCTAGCTAAGTGGTGCCAGATTTGAAAAGCAAATGCACATGCATTTTGCATCCACAGATTTGGTTTAATCAGAGTATAATTTGTCAATTTTGAATGTCTAGGAAGATCAGCTTCTGTTGGCTGAGAAAGTTTAAATTTGAGATTATTTTCATGCCTGGTATAATAAAAACTTTATTTGACTTTGTCATTTTTGGCTCAGAGATCCTAAGACCTCTGGAATTTCCTGAATGGTAGGCCTGGCTCTGTTCCTGCCTAACACACACATTTCAGATGGTAGCTAAGTCTATGTTAATGAGATGACTCTGGGTAGGATCCCTAAACAACATCAGAACGGGAACAGGGCATCAGAAAGAGCCAATACTTGCTTTCCACTGGCATCTTCATGGGGCTGCATGGTACTTATTTTTATATTTAGTCTATGTCTTTATGTTTGCCTTTAAAATATATTTATGTATCTTCAGTTGATATATATAAAATATCATATGCCTTTTTTGTGGCGAGAACACTTAAAATCTAAATTCTTCATTATTTTCCTTAGAACACATTGCTATTAACTATTATTATGTTGTACAATATACATTTTGAAGTTATTCTTCCTATGGAATTGAAATTTATTCTCCTTTGAGCAACATGGCCTCAAATCCCCTCCGTGTCTCTTTAAATTTAAATAATTTTCCTGTAGATGATCCAAAGTTGGGTCTTGGTCTTAAATGAACTGTGTCAGTCTCTTAATTGGAGTAATTAGTTAATACACATTTAAGATGATGATTGCTGTATTTGGAGTAATATGCAGCATATTTGAAATTGATTCCCCTTTATTATAATTCTTTTTAAAAGTCTTACTGATTTTTATTTGTTTGAAAAAGATCTAGAAACAGAGGAAGAGAATGATCTTATATCTAATGTTTCAGTCTCTGAATGCCTGCAACAATTGTGGCTAATTCAGGCTGAGCACAGGAGCCAAGAAGTCCTTCCAGGTTTCCCACATGTGTGGCAGAGATCCAAATACTAGAAGCATGAACTTCTGCCTGCCACAGCATGCATTAGAGGGAAAGTGCATCAGAACTGGGATAGCTATACTCAAACATGACATTCTGATATGGGATGTGGTCATCAGAAGTGGTGTATAAACTGCTCCACCCAGCACCCATGCCTGTCTTTGTTTATAAAGTTTCCCTAGTTTTCTCACTTATCACTTTATTTTTTTAAGATTTATTTTATTTATTTGAAAGACAGAATTACAGAGAGAGGTAGAGACAGAGAGGGAGGTCTTCCATCCGCTGGTTCATTCTCCAGATGGCTGCAATGGCTGGAGCTGCGCCGATCCAAATCCAGGAGTCAGGAGCTTCTTCCTGGTCTCCTGCATGGGTGCAGGGGCCCAATTGTGGGGAGCAACTCGGACTATACTGTTACTGGAATTAAGACTTATTCTATGCATCTGCTCTCCCACAATATGGCGCTGGGAGAGAAGAAAACAGCTTCTACACAGCTGCCTCCAGTTCAGCCAATAAACTGTAGGACTTGCTCCTAATTGGAGGAGAGCAGCGTACTCGGCGTGTGGGCAGCCGAGTTAGGATTGGCGGAGGAGGACTATAAAGGAGGAGAGAGACGGCATGCACCAGGAACATCTAAGGGGAATACCTGTGCAGCCCCCGAGAGAGCCGGCCGGCGGTGTGCCGCTTCCCTGCGGAAGTGGGGAATGTGGCAGGGGGAACCGCCCTTCCACGGAGGTGGAAGGGACAGTAGCCAACCCGGGAAGAACCAGCAGCAAACCCGGGGAGGGCCGAGCAGACAAAAGAACAGCGCAGGGTTTAGTGTCGTTCCTCCACGAAGAGGGGGAGCGACACCCAATGACTTTTTTTCTGGTAGATTATGTAGAAACAAACAAAGTGAATTCCTTTTTGTATCTTCACTTAATTTTTTAAAGATTTATTTATTTATTTGAAAGGCAGTTGCAGAGGGGCAGAGGTATAGTGAGAGAGAGAGGGAGAGAAGTCTTCCATCTGCTGGTTCACTCCCCAGAAAGCCTCAATGGCTGGAGGTGTGCAGATCTGAAGCCAGGAACCAGGAGCTTCCTTCTGGTCTTCCCACAAAGGTGCAGGAGCCTAAGGACTTGGGCCATCTTCCATTGCTTTTCCAGGTCATAGCAGAGAGCTGAATCGGAAGTGGAACAGCCAGGACTCAAACCAGTGCCCATATGGGATGCAGGCACTGCAGAAGGAGGCTTTACCCGATACACCACAGCACTGGCCCCTATTCAAATCCTTTTTCCAGCTAACTATATTGTTTTTTGTTGCTACTATGCCGTTTTTCCAGTTCCATACCTATTCTGTGTCTCAGTCCTTTGTCAGATGCATAGTTTGCAAATGTTTTAGCTCATTCAATTGGTTATATCTTCATTTTGGTGGCTGTTTTGTTTATATTTTTGTTTTTGGTTTTAGGAATCTTCTTAGTTGATATCAAAATTATATATTTGTGTTTTTATTGCCTGTACTTTTGAGATCTTATCCAAAGCTATTGTTTACGTCAATGTTGTATAGAATTCCCCTTCTTCTTTATGAGATTTATGTCTTACATTTAGATCATTGATTAAATTTGTTTTTGTTTAAGGTAAGGTTGGGGCAGTCTCCTTTCAGTCTTCTGCGTATGAATACCCAGTTTCCTCTGGACCATTTACTGAAAAGATTTATTTCTTTAGTGTATTTTTGGAGTATTTGTCAAATGT